CTGCCTGGTGAAAAAGGACCTGGATGTGTTGGTCAACAGCTGGTTGAATAGGAGCCAGTAGTGTGCCCAGGTGGCCAAGAAGGCCAATAGCATCCTGGCTTGTATCAGAAATAGTGTGGCCAGCAGGACTGCAGAAGTGATCATCCCCTGTACTTGGCACTGGTCAGGCTGCATCTCAAATCCTGTGTTCGGTTTTGGTCCCTAACTACAAGAAAGACATTGAGGTGCTGGAGTGTGTCCAAAGAAGGGCAACAAAGCTGGTGAAGGGTCTGGAGCACAAGTCTTATGAGGAGCGGCTGAGGGAACAGGGGTTGTTTAGTCTGGAGAAAACTAGGCTCAGGGGAGACCTTATCGCTCTCTACAACTACCTGAAAGGTACTTGTAGCGAGGTGGGTGTGTAGCGAGGTTACTTCTTCCAAGTAACAAGTGATAAGACAAGAGGAAATGGCGTCAAGTTGCACCAAGGGAAGTTTAGATTGGATATTAGGAAAAATTTCTTTCCCAAAAGGGTTGTCAAGCATTGGAACAGGTTGCTCAGGGAAGTGGTTGAGTCACCATCCCTGGAGGTATTTAAAAGCCATGTAGATGTTGTTTTTAGGGACATAGTTTAGTGGTGGACTTGGCAGTGGTAGGTTAGTGGTTGGACTCAATGATCTTAAAGGTCTTTTCCAACCTAAACGATTCTATGGAACCTGCAAGGTCTTCTCCTACAGCACTAGCTGGAGGAAGCAGCTGATACGAGGCATCTTATAAGCCTAAGGAAGATCATTCAATAAAGTCAGGACTTTTTGAATAAATGAGGCATGGAAAAACTTTAAATGCTTAGGTTAACTTACTCCCATCCCTTCTTAAGTGACCCTGAAGATTTGAAATCACTGCATTTGCTTTCGGAGGCACAGCTTTTCATTTGTAGCTATACAGACACTTAATGTAGTACATGGGTTTTATACTCACCCTTGCACTCTGGCCAGCAATAAGCTGGTCATCTTCAGTCTGAACACTTGTTCGGCTGCGAACGTCATAATCTTCCTGCTCAAAGTCTGAATCATCCTCTAGCTCTTCAGGGGTCTAGAGAGAGAGAAAGGGAAAGAAAGCAAAAGAGAGGAGATGACAAGCTTATAAAGGATACGGACAAAGTCCTATGTACAGTAAGCTCTTATTTCATCGACTACCTGCCCAGAGAATGCTGTTTCTCTTTCTTTTAAAATTAACTTTTCTGTCCAAGCAGTCAAGAACTGAAATTGAATTGTCTTCTAAATTAAGTTGTTTCAGTTCTAGTTTTCTTTACAAACAGCATTTATCGTTACCTTGCTGAAACTCTTCTTAGCCCTGTTAACATGATGAATGTAGTTCCAGGAACAAATATCCTTTTGAAACAAAAGGAATGTATTATTTCAAAATAATGTTATTTCATATATAAATGGATACTACTATTATATTACTGGAATCTCCACATAATCTTCAAAAGAGAAAGTAAATACCTGGGAAAAAGTAACTAACATCCTGGAAGAAAAAGTTATCAAAGCAAATATGAGATTTCCCCTTGAAAGAAAATGTGAATGTAAACCACATGTCAACTAGTTTTGAAGCAAATGTAAAATTTATAATCTGTTTTAGCTTGTTGGTTCACACAGTTCTTTTCAGATACAGATCTTGGAATTTGTCTCCACATTGTTGTGGTTTAGGCCGATCAGGCAACTAAACTCCACACAGGTGCTCATGCACTCCTGCCCCCAGTGAAGTTGACAGGAGAAAAATATAATAAAAAGGACTGAGGATTGAGACAAGAACAGAGGGAGCACCCACCGACCATGGTCCCGGGCAAAACAGACTCGGATGCGGGATAAAACAATTCAATTTATTAACAGTTACTTGAGAGGATAAAAAAGAAACAAAGCCAGATCTTAAAAAACACCACCACCCCCCCGACTTTTTCCTTTTCTTCCCGGCTCTACCTCTTCCCCCAGCGGCACAGGGGGACAAGGAATGGGGGAGTGCAGGTCAGTTCATCCCATATTGTTACTGCCGCTCCTTTTCTCAAAGGAGGAGGAGTCTTTACACCCTTTTCCCTTGCTCCAGTGGATCCCGTACCCACAAGGAAAATCCACAGACTTCGCCAGCATGAGTCCTACCCGCAGGATGCAATCCTTTCCCATTGGATTGCTCCAGTGCAGGCTTTTACCACAGTCATGGATTCTTAAGGGTTTGTTGCCACTTGCTCCAGCGTGGGTCGTCCCACGGACTCTGGATGCGTCTGTACCTTGTCGTGCATCCCATTCTCCATGACCTCTCTCAGGCTCAGGCATCTCTTCTCTGCCGTGGGCTTCTCCACGGGCTGCGAGTGGGTCTCTGCTCCACTGAGTACACCCTGGCTGCAGGGGGGCTGCTGCCGTCTCACCACTGGTTGCAGGAGAAAAT